CCCCCCAGACGGCCGATCAGCAGTACCTGGAGGGTTTCACGGAGGAGCTGGAGGCGTTCAAGGAGCGCGTTCGGGGCCGGGCGCGGGCGCGGCTCGAGAAGGCGCTGCGGGACTACGAGGAGGAGGAGCGGCAGAAACGCCTCGGGCCCGGCGGCCTCGACCCCGTGGACGTCTACGAGTCCCTGCCCGCCGTGAGTGCGGCCGGGGGGTTTGGGGGGGTTTTGTTTCTTTTTTTGGGGTTTTTTTTAAAGTTTTTGGGGTTTTTTTGGTTCTTTTTTTGAGGTTTTTTTGTTTCTTTTTTTTGAGGTTTTTTAATTTATTTTTTGGGGGTTTTTTAAAGTTTTTGGGGGGTTTTTGGTTCTTTTTTTTGAGGTTTTTTTTGTTTCTTTTTTGGTTTTTTTTTTTAAAGTTTTTGGGGTTTTTTGTTTCTTTTTTTGAGGTTTTTTTGGTTTTCTTTGGGGGGGTTTTTTAAAGTTTTTTGGGGGTTTTTTGTTTCTTTTTTTTGAGGTTTTTTTGTTTCTTTTTTTTGGGGGGGTTTTGTTTCTTCTTTTTGAGGTTTTTTTTTGTTTCTTTCTTTGGGTTTTTTTAAAGTTTTTGGGGGGGTTTTTGTTTCTTTTTTTGAGGTTTTTTGGTTTTCTTTGGGGGGTTTTTTTAAAGTTTTTTGGGGGCTTTTTGTTTCTTTTTTTTGAGGTTTTTTTGTTTCTTTTTTTTGGGTTTTTTTAAAGTTTTTTGGGGTTTTTTTGTTTCTTTTTTTTGAGGTTTTTTTGGTTTTCTTTGGGGGGGTTTTTTAAAGTTTTTGGGGGCTTTTTGGTTCTTTTTTTGAGGTTTTTTGGTTTCTTTTTTGGGTTTTTTTTTTAAAGTTTTTGGGCTTTTTGTTTCTTTTTTTTGAGTTTTTTTTTTGTTTCTTTTTTTTGGGTTTTTTAAAATTTTGGGGGGGTTTTGTTTCTTTTTTTTGAGGTTTTTTTGAGGTTTTTTTGTTTCTTTTTTTGGGGTTTTTTTAAAGTTTTTTGGGGGCTTTTTGGTTTTTTTTGAGGTTTTTTTGTTTCTTTTTTGGGGGTTTTTTAAAGTTTTTGGGGGGCTTTTTGGTTCTTTTTTTTGAGGTTTTTTTGTTTCTTTTTTTTGGGTTTTTTTAAAGTTTTTTGGGGGGGTTTTGTTTCTTTTTTTTTGAGTTTTTTTTGTTTCTTTTTTTTGGGGGGTTTTAAAGTTTTTGGGGGTTTTTTGTTTCTTTTTTTTGAGGTTTTTTTTGTTTCTTTTTTTGGGGTTTTTTAAAGTTTTTGGGGGCTTTTTGGTTCTTTTTTTGAGGTTTTTTTTTTTGTTTCTTTTTTTGGGTTTTTTTTTAAAGTTTTTGGGGGGTTTTTTGTTT